TTAATTTGTAAAAGTTATGAATAAAGTGTGATTAGTTGTATTTATGTAGTATTGTTGTTGTAAATATTTAAAAATTTAATTATGGTACGGAACCTAAACGAACCGAACCGAACTGAACCCGAACGGTTCTATAATTATATTTGGACCCGACAGTTCTATTGATTAAATATCAAAAAGTTTTGGGTCAGTTCGGTTCTCTTTGACCCACGGACAGTCCTATAGTACATTCTCCAAAAATTCATTATTCAAACAATATTCTTTCAAAAAAATGTCCACCATAGACTTAACAACGTCACAAATTCCTATTACACCTCAAATGAATGATGCCATAACAATTGAATCGTGACGCTGAATCTTTATGCTTGTTACGTACAACACTTGGTTAGTTGGTTTCCTTGAATTGCAATGATTAAAAATATTCAATGGAAAATTCCATCAATTAATGTTCGACGTTGTTTCCGATCATCTTGAGAGTTTTCCCAAGGTGTCCTCCTTGTCGAGCTTAATTGTTACACGTAATAATTTCACATCGCATCGAGTTTTTACATTAGTTACATTCTCTATCTCAAAATACATACTCTCGTAGGACTTTACTTCTATCTTCAAATTTATCCAACTTCGATAAGATTAGATTCTTACTAGCTTACAACTCCTACTCATATTGAAATATTCAAGTTTTTTACATCTCTTAATCAGATAATGCTTCAAGCATCTTAATCATATAAAAAATGTGCTATTTATTTCTATAAATACAAGTTATAATTCATTATCAAGTATGCTTATATTTTTCTATTTTGCTAACTTAAACATCGAAGAGGTGACGAGTGCACACATGGACACTTTTGTTTCAGATATCGAAGATTTCGTTCATAATCATTAGGGGTGTCAACAAGTCGAGTTGAAAACCGAGCCCGAGCAAAAATTCGGGTTTTTTTTTGCCCGAATCGAGCTGGCTCTTTTTTTGGTGATAAATCTATTTTTTTAAAAGAATTTAAAATTTGTGCAATTTGTATATACTTGAATTTAAAATCTATTTTTTAAAATTAAAAAAAATTAATAAAATTTGGCTCGACTGGCCGAAATGGCACGTGACACGGGCTGGCTCGGCTCAAGCCGATGCCCCAAAATGGGGCTTAGCTCGACTCTCGGCTCGGGCTTTTCCCGAGCCGAGCCCGAGCCACGGGCTGCCCAAGTGGGCAAGCCTTTTTGACATCCCTAATAATCATCCTTAGTTGTCAAGCTCGAGAATCAACCAATGATGATTCTTGATAACATCATTGACGTCGTCTGTAGAAAATGGTACGTTACCACATCCAAAAGGCCACCGGAATTTAGTTTTTTCGGGTAGTTTGTTTTACCAGAACATAAAGAAGTCAACAAAAAAAAAAAAAA